GAAACTTTCATTGCATTTGATCAGCCAAGATCTTGTTAAAATGCAGATTCTGACTTAGCAGTTCTAGGACCAAACCTGGGAATCTGCATTTCCACCAACTCCAAGGCGGTGGTGATGCTGCGACCGCTGGTGTAGGGACAACACTTTGAGAAGCTAGACTCCAAGCTGGACATCTGGAGCAAAACCGAAGGAGCCCCCGATCTCAGAGGTGGACACAGAGGCCCAAGGAGGCCACGGAGCTCATGAAAGGGCCAGCCACCGGCGTCCTGACAGGTGAGGAGCAGCACTGCTGTGCCTTGTACACATGAGCTAATTTTTTGCTGCTGAAAGGCTCCAGGTGCTCTCAAGATGGAGGAAGAACTGTTCTCTGTGAGTGATGTCACAAGGGGTCCCTTTATGGCCCAGAAAGGTCCTTTGGACACTCAGGCAGAGCACGGAGGGGATGAAATTCAGCCATCCAAGCTGCCCACTTGTGGACCCTTCCCACCTGCTTCGGCCAGGACCAGGGACAAAGCAGGGGTGGAAGCGGGGCTGGGTCTTTAGCCCAGAATGCTCTGGGAAGTGACGCTGTGGAACCTGAGTGTGGTGGGTCCTCCCTGTGAAATAGGGAAGGTTGAAGACCCTGATGCAGAGTCAATCACTGTCAAAGGTCATGATTCCAGAATAGGTTAATTCCCCAGGGAGCCTCACCCCCTGGCAGCTTTGCAGCCCTGCAGGTCCTGCTGCTCTCAATGGGCCAGCCTCTCTCCTGGTTCCTGGGTCGTGTCCTTGAGGGGGTCCGTGTGATTGGCTCAGCTCTACTGACCTCCACACTTCATGGCTCAGCTGCTAACAATGGGTGAGGCTCCCCTGGGTCACCCTTCACCTGGCCATCCCTGAGGATGGTTGGGACGTGCTGGTGACACCCCAGATGACGAGTCTGGCCACACCCTCGGAGCTGGCCAAGGCTGGGGCTGGGCCCTCACAGCGCTATCTACGCAGACTGGGGAGCAAGTGGCTTCAGTCCCTTGGGGTGGGGCTCAGTGACCCCGCCAGGCCCCCAGGTCATTCCCCATCCAAGCACCTTTGGCCGTGTTGAGAGGACTTTGTTGGTCCTGATATTTTTCCCGTTTGTCCTCAAGTAGGGATGATAACAATGCCTCTAAGAAACTTCACATGAACAAAGTTGTATTCTAAGGCTTTGGAAAGAAAGAAAAAGGGTGAAGAGGACAGAAAAACAGGGAAAGAGAAGAAGGGCTGGAGATTTGTCATAGTCATGCCATTTGTTTGCCATCGGAATGTCAGGAATGGAGCTCTTTTGAATAGCCGTGGGCTGTGATTCTAGCTAAAACTGATCACCTGGGTGACAAAAGTGACACAGACAAACCGCAGACCTGGAAGCTCACAAGACATCAGGCAGTTTCGAGATGGTCTAATACATGGCAACCTAGCCCCTAACCCCAGACAGAAGAGTCGGTGGGGGCTCAGCACCCTGGAGGTGCTGACGGGGCTCTGCAGGGCCTGTCGGGTCACACGGGAGCCAGCTGTGGCGGCAGTGTGCA